TGTGAGAGTAAACAGCTTAATGGAACCAAGCGGATTTCATAATGGAAAATAGTGTCGCACGGAATAGTCTTGTTCTGATGTGGATTACCGAGGTCACTTTAAAGCAAAATCAAACCCAAAATCAACTTAAAGGATAATTCTTTATTTTTTAAAATCTGATACTTAGAGGCTTCTGTGGCCCGACACTCGTTTAATATGCAGGTGAAAGTGGAATCACGCTCATCACCTCAGAAACATCCACCGTGGATGAGGGCCTGCTTCATAATTCTTACTTAAATCGAATGCAACAGTTAAGCTAAATGAGGATGATGGTTCTGAAGCATTTTGCTGTCATCTAAGTATTAAGGCTGGCTACGTTTTAATGATGTTTACGTAGCTATTCCCAAAAAATTCTGGTTTTAAGTGGTTCATAGAACCTCCAGCCAAAGCTCCATTTAAATGTCACGTGAAAAAGTAGAATTATCCCTCGAGATTGTTTTATTTTTGTGTCCTACTGTCTAAAAGAGGCCTTATTCTGCTCTTTGGTTGCCTTTTACCCTTCAGTGTTGCATAGCTGCTTTTTGTGCATGTAAAAGGTCTGCAAAGCCCAAAGAGCTTTTCTCCCCACAGAAAGCACTGCTCCTTACCTGCCTGAAACACCTCATTTGAAGTGCAGACTTCTCTTAAGTTACTGATCACCATGTTACCATCACGCCCGCCCAGCAGATAGTTTGGCCTTCAAGTAAAGAAGGAATCTGTTTCCTCCATAGAGCTGCTTCTGCTAACTCTAAAATGTGTCACTCACAAGCAAAGCAATGTTGAGTCTTCATGCATACCCAGCATCTGAGGAACTGAAGACTCAGGGGATTACAAGACATCATCTCTGGCTTTTGGGAAACACTGATTGACATCTTCCACCATTTTCGGACATTTTGTAGATTAAATAACGAAGCAATTATTCAAGAAAATAAACAACAGGTTAGTTGACAATGAAAATAATTGTTAGTTGCAGCCCTATTTTTATTATTTATTGATTAAAAATTGTCCCGAGTTCTTTCAGTGAGGAGTTCTAAAATTACTTAGACTGAATTGTTTTGCATTGTTCCTGCACTGTAGAGTCACACTCCACAAGATCCACACACAGAAGCTACCTGCTCAGTCCTGCCTATAAATGACCTTCTGTCCTCAGTTAGGTTTTAGATTTCCTGTTGTTAATCATCTCAGATTCATATTTTATTCCGGTGATATTTGCTCTTTTTAAAGCATTTTGAACTGTAGCTGTGCAGAGAACAGCCCTGCCTTTGTCACACTGGCAGACGTTTTGCTTTGTCATAGTAGGAAAAGCAAAAGTGTTACTAATGACATCAACACTGACTCTGTTGAAGCTGCATCTACGTGCATTGCTCTCAATTTGTGCATGAAAAAACCTGATTGGAAATGCTAGCAATTAAAAAAAAAAACAAACAAACTGAAATGTCAAAAAAAAAGTAGAAAACACAACATTAAATAATTACAGCTACACATTCTACTGATTACACTGATGCAACACACAGCTACAGATAATGATTCAAATCTGAAATGCATGTTTTAAAGTGCAGTGTGTTCCCACCAATAAGCACCATTCTGTTGTGTTGTCATTTCAACGTATGTTGGTGCACTACTGGTGTTTTTGTTGCATGTGTAAAACATGCACAGATGTTAAATGCAAACTTGGTCAATGCGACGCTGCACGGCATCGTGACCGTGAACTGAGGCAGCTGAATGGAATTTGTCTGTCATTTATTGTATGATTTCCACCTGTGATGTTCCTGCTGTCGTCTGTGAGAAAGACCAGCGTGGAAGGTGGACATGCTGATGTTTACGTCGTGCATTCATGGTTGAACATTTTGGTGTCAGGATTCCTACCTTCAGCCCTACACCTTGTGTTTGTGCGCTGCCTAAAGGGGAGGGTGTCCCATTTCTTTTGGGTGTCGAGGGGTCTTTCAAGCAGATGTAGGTTTGGGTTTTGCTTGGATTTTAACATTTTTTTAAAATTCCAACTGTATTTATCAACTCTATTTGCTGTTTCGATTCTTTGAGTTGAATATGGTTAGAGTTACTGTCGTATCTTCAAGCAGCTGTGAAATCCTGCTTTTCATTAATACAATAATCAAATGACATGACAACATGCTGTATTATAGGATAACAGTCACAAAAAATGCTGTACATTACAATAAGTTCTTCTACTTTTAATATCATGACACATTTTCCAGATTATACTTACATTCTTTAACTTTCAGTAACATTTTCAGGCATCAGTACTTAACGGATCTGAAAACTTCCACCACCACCGCCCATCTCTGCTTGTTAAGGGACCAGTAATAATAATGATTATATTCATTATTATGTGTTGAACAGTGAGGTTGCACAGCCACCAATCGGCTGCACATCCTCTGTATGTAGACCAGTGGGTTTGTTGTGAAGTCTCTCCTGGTGTGTGCAGAAGTACCGGCATGTCATCACAGTTTTAGAAAAGTGTTGCTGTCAGGGCGGTAGAGTTACCGTAAATTCCAGACTATAAGCTGCTACTTTTTTCACACACTTTGAACACTGCAGAGCAATGATGCGGCTAATTTATGGATTTTTACGATTTTTATGAATTCGCCTCGAGACAAAAGACACATTGAGAGCGACAACGAAAGAGAGACTGAGGAAGTGTGTGACCAAGTCATTCTGACACTGAAGAAGAAGACGACTTTAGTGGTTTTAGTGAGCAGGAGGAAGATGAAGATAGCGATCAATGACTTTTCCTGGTAGGCGACTGTAGTTTTTATTTTTTTAACCAGCCGTGTGTAAAAAGCATTTACAGTATTTATTTAATTAAAAGTTAAAAGAATCTTTCTGTGTAAATATCTCCTGTTACAACGTGGACACCTGCAGCTTATAGACAAGTGCGGCCTGTATATGAACAAAACTTGTTTCCTTTTAAAGTTAGTGGGTGTGGCTTATATTCAGGTGCGATCAATAGTCCGGAAATTACGGTACTTTGTGTTGTTTTCACAGGAGAGAAATAAAGAGTTCCTGTTCATGTAACGTTACTACAACGTTCTCCCGCATTCTTCACGCAGGACGCTCTACTTACCATAAACACCAGCAGAACACAGAGCTAGAAAAGCCATTGTAACCATAGCGACGATGGTCTCGTTTTGTGTCAGCGTTCGATAAATTAAGGTGATTGTTACTAGACATGCAGTTGGTGTTGTTCACCTGCTAATCAAGGAGCAACAGCTGAGCAGGTAAACTGGGAATAATGCTCGAGTCATGATTTGGGAATCCTCTCAACCCCAAAACCCACCGGAGGCTTTGAAAGGCCCCTTTTTTAAAAAAAAAATCGCAACTGGAAACATAAAGAGTCATTACATCTTCAACTTCCCAACAGTCTTTGAAATCTATAATATGCTGTTCCATCAGGAAACCAACCAAATCTAAGCTTAAAATCATGATATTTTAAATAAATAAATATATATTTAAAAACTTTATGTTGTAGATTTTGTATTAGAAAAAATATAAGAATTACCAAAAATAAAATAACCAGTTTGCACCCAGTTTCATAAAAAATCTCAGCATTCTGTGCTGCTCATGACGACATTAGTGACTCGAAAAAAAAATTCATTGCTTCTTGACTGAACTGCAGGCTGTGTCTTCACTTAGCGGGGAGCTGATCAGAACTGATGCAAAATGGAAATTGTACACTATGGATACTATGCAGAGTCAGTATTTTTCCAGTGGTGGTAACACTGGTGGGCAGAGTCCAGTTTTTTCTTTTCTTTTTTTTTGTCTTAATTTTTGTAAAATACATAATCAAAGAAATTCAAAGTTTTTTTCTTTTTAAATGATTTTTAGCATTTTGACGTTATTGCACCACACAGTAGACGTTCTTCAGTTCTCTGTCCTTCTCGCCAGGGTTGTTCTGATTCTATACAAATGCAGGACTTTAGATTGCAGCGAAAAATGATCCCACAGTGAGTAAAAATGTGACAGGAGCACAAAAAGAAATGCCCAGAAGCTACTTGGGGTTCAGAGGATAAGGTCGAATGCGTCAGGAGGCGAGAGGACACGCCGACGTTTAACTTGCGTCGCTGATGGCGCAGACAGATGGCGGTAGATACTGTTTTGTTTTGAGATAACCGAAAACAAAATTAAATTTCTTAAAGATTGCTACGGAACCAAAACTTTGGAACCAGTTTTAAGTTGGATCTCGTCCCTGACGCCCAAAGCGGTGCACAAAAACAGAGGGGTGGGGCCGAGTGGAGGAACTGGAATTGGGTCAAGAATCACCACATTCAGGTCTACGCTTTAGGAGGTTGACAACAGTTCCTCAGGTCTTCATAACGCTGTAATTCCAATTCAAACCACAAGCATCTGTTTACTCTTTAGGCTCGTTTCCTCTCCTATCTGAGCAGATTTTTGCTTCAAAGTCTCGTCTTGTACAGCAGCAGCAGCAGCGGCATCGTTTCGACGGCGGCGGGCTCACGGGGGGCCGCAGACTCCACAGATAAGCGCATCAGCCATTACCAGGTCCCTCCTTCAGACCTATTAGGTCTTGCAAGGACTTCAAACACCAATTTGTTCTGCAAATAGCCCATTCAATTTGTGCCTGCCAAAGAGAGACACCTCTCTCCTCTCTGCAGTAATTGAATCTTCAAAGGGACATTTTCCTCTATTTCTGTCAGGTATTAGAGTGATGAATAGCAAACGGTCATCTGAACAGAAAGAGAGGATACATGTTTATCCATTTTCAGTTAGACGCTCATCATGCGCCTTGATGATTGCGAGGCAGGAAATTGAATGGCAGCGCTGCAGGGCCTTCAATAGAGGATTTTCAGCGGCGGGGCAGACGAGTCATGCACTGATATCAGGCTTTGGGGCACTTGGTGAATAGACAACATTATCTCGCCACTTATCACAACATCTAAAAACCCAAGTTCAGCTAATTATAACCGAGCGGACACTCTGACGCTTTACAATGAATTTAAGGAGGCTTTTAAATCTTCAATATTTTTATTAATTAAATACACCATACTGGAGCAAATGTCTCGGAAAATATCACAAATAAATTTCTCTTTCATTCAGCATTTTATATGTTGGTGATGATCTCTACATTACTGACTATGAGCAGGTTTCTTCAGTTTGCCGTGGGGGGAGTTTCAAAGGGAGGAGCTGAGTGCGGAGGGGGTTGGATGTACTGTAGCCACGCCTGGACAACGACATTTACATGCAAACTGTACATACATGGTAGTTTTACAAATACACCAAGAGAGTGTTCATGATTTGTTTTCCACAAAATGCCACAGATTTTTTTTATTTTTTAAAACCCTATCTTTATATATATATTTATATATATACCACCAAAAAAGAGAAAGAGAAAAAGAAAAAAAAAAAAAACACATTCCCCTTGACAACACTTAAAAGTATAGAAAGTGGAAACACCATGTTGCTGGGAAATGAGGATAGAAAAGGAAGAGAGGAAAAATGAAAAGGTCCCGGTTTTCCCCCAAAATGTCTTTAAACAAATGTGCAGAGTTGAAAAGCCTGCATCTCTAAAACCTCATTAAGTCTCTCCTTTCCTTCGCTTCAGTCACAACATCCTCTCAGCGTGTTATTTAATTTTCTCTTCCTGAAGAGTCCCCTTGGATTCTGATCCGTCTCCTCTTTTTAGCATTTTTTTTTTTTCTTTTTTTACATGTTTTATCCCAAGGTCACGGAGTCCTCAGCGTCCCGAATCAGGTGCGTTAAGTGCAAGTATCCACCCTTATGTGGGGAAAAGCCAAGGTTTGGAGGCTGAGCGTCGGGTATGGGTTGCAGAAATAAAAGTCAGGTTACTGGGGGAGATGGGTAGAGGATTCCTTTAGGGCGAAAGGGCCTGGGAGCACATAAAAAGGCCGGGGGTGCTGCTGATCCACGCTGTCTCAGGTGACAATGAGTAAGGGCTAAAATGAAGGCACACATCCTGCTTCCTGCGCGGCTCCCGCCTAACACACCTGAACAGTGGGCGATAAAAACAACAACAACAAAAAAAAAAGAAAGCATTTTTAAAAGAAAGCAGGCGTCATTAGGAGCATCAGTTCACAAAATGTCATAAATGTTTCACCCCGTGATAAATCAACTTTCCGCCAGCTCCGGTGCTTAATTTATTGATCAGCCAGGCTTTGAAAACCATCTGGTGTCCCATTTACTTTGCATTAACTTAAAAGTGCATTCATGAAGCGATTCTCTTTGGTATAATTAGAAGCACGCTCCGACATAACTGCAGGAGGTGTTCAGTCCTGTGAAACAGAAAAATGCAGGGGAGGAAAGACAATTATCTGTCTGGGTTCCACCAGCATTCAACTTTTTCATCTTACTTGTTTTTTCTTCTTGATTCTAAGGGGCGATTTACTTTTCCCTTCATCCCTCAAATCACTAGGAGGGCTTCAGTCTATTAGTAATTGCAAACTCCTACTTGGGGGCTAATTAAAGTGACTGACGCTGGGAGGGTCTCACTCCCCTGGGTCAAAGCAGCTCTGTATGAGCGAGGTAATTTGTCTGTTCAGAACAAAGAGATTAGGAAGAAGCTGGGAAGAAAGCTTAATAAATGAGCATCAAATGTCCTCTGCCATGATCGCGAACAACACCAATTATGTCACAGCAAAATCGCACATAATCAAAACAACGGTCAGCAGATAACCCGGTGACTGCTTCATTTTCTCCTCTGCTAAACCGGCCTGCGCTTCATACATGGGAGGCATATTGATTCAGAGGGCTGTTATCCAGCTCTTGTTTGAGGCCGTCCAAATTCTGTTTAAGCAAAAGAAACGTTGTGTGATAAAGTGCTCGAGCGGCAGAATAATTCTCCTTATTTCACTGGTGGAGATAACAAAAGCATCCAGAGACTGTTCCCACTGAGCGATGCGTCTCTGTTTATTTAATAATTCTCTCTCTGCTATAATTAAAGCACCAGGGCCGATATTCAGATTGCATTTTAGCATCAATAATTCAGCAGTTTTCACTACAATTGATGTTAGTGCATAAATAAACAATGAGGCCTCATATTTACTGCGCCATCCATGCTACAGGAGACACTGGGGGTGGGAGTAAGGACTTAAACAGACATTTAAAATTAAACTAGATAATGCAACGGCTTTCAATTTAAATGTGAGGAGCTCTAAGAGCTCCAAGAGCTGATTTGTAAAAGTGACAAGCTCTTAAAAGGCCTGTGACGTCGAGAGAGGAGGGGAGGAGGGGGGGCTTAATGGAGTTCTACCTCTCCTCTACTCACAGAACCACTCAAGGTGAAATGCATGCTACCAACAATATAATTCCTCTTTCAGTCAGACTCTGACACACTCCAAACACCTCCCATATCTCTCGGTGTGCTGTGTGTGCAGACAAGGTATCAATGAAGCTGCTTGTTGTGAGGCAAAAATGATTAGATCTCCTGCGGGCAGAATGAAGCTATCCTGAAGAATGAAGTTATCCTTCGTATATGATTAGGCCTTCTGTTTTGCTTTCACTGGAGGCATCAAGATCAAATCAGGGAAAGCCATGATGACAGCTTTCATGATATACTAGCTGCTGCAGCTCGCTGTCTGTGTTCGAGCCTCGGGCCTGCTGGATACAGATTTTTGGCCTTGGAGTAATAACTTAGCCCAGGTGATCCCAGTCTCGTTGATCGAGTAGTCAAATTCTGTTTTAAACACTCTGTATTAACGGCAACACGTGTCATTTTTCAGCACAATTGGAAGTCTGGCGCGGGACGACGAAATAAATTCAAGATGAGTCAAACGTGCGCAACAAACCGAGTGTGAGGACGGCGGCGCGAAAAACCATCATTTTCACATGTTTTGTGTTGACGGTTAATACAGATTTTCTGAGTCCTCCAACAAGAATGATGGAAAAATCTATTGGCTGTCTAAATATAAAATTCATCTCGGCTCTGTAAGATTTAATATCTGCTGCATGCCTCGCAGTGGAGTCGAATCAACGACATCAATATAAACAGAGTGAAAAATGTTGGCGTGAAAATTACAGATGTTTTTCTTTTCCTGCTAATGACTCCAGCTGAGTGATGACAAGCTTTTACTGACTCGTCCTGTTCTTGATCGGCCCTCTGCCCCCCTCCGCCCTCCTTTAGATGTTAGAAACGAGAGCACAAAGAGTGGTGGCGCTCACCTTCTGGTCGGGCAGTAGTGGGTTCGTTTGCAGTGAACTCAAATGGCCGTTGATGAGCGCTGTGGGTCTGTCGTGTTCGCAGAACAGGCTGCCGTTGATGTAGTGGAACCGATCTCCGGGGACGAGCCGGTTCCGGCAGGTGGAACATGTGAAACACTGTGGACGGGGAGAGAACGGATCAGGACTCGGTGCTGTCGTGTAACAACGAGCTACAGATGTGAGGGTTCTAGTCAGAGTTGGGACGGTGCAGGTCCGGCTAACTTATAGAGCTTTTTACCATCACGTGGTCCCATCTGATGACGTCGCGGTTTACTGAAAGGATCCAACAAAGTGTCTTGTTTTGTCCAACAAACACTCCCAAACCCTCACATGTACTCATTTAATGCAAGAAAAGCTCGAAGCTGAAGGCCTGAATCACATTAACCAGCAGCCCTCCAGCAGCTCCTGGCAGCTTTTTGCTCCTGTTATGTTTTTGCTCGCTGTGACATCGTTGGCTCGTTGTTCACTGCAATACAAAGTCCTGCTCAACCAGCAGCACAACAAGGGCTAGAAATAGAACTCAGAACTGTCTTTAGTGCAGTTAAAATGCCATAAATCATGAAAAAGGAAGAAAACTAAAAGTTAAACTTCTTGGATTGATTCATTTTACTACAATTGACAAAACCTGAAACCCACATTTAGAACATTTCTCCAGGTGCCCACAGGTGTGACCAACACTGGGGGAAACAAACGGTGACTCCACAAACTACAGCAGCTGAGTCAGTCACGAGGTCACAGCCGTCTGAGGACTGAAGAATATTTTGGTTTTTACAGAATCTGGTGAAAGCAAAGGATTTATTTTCTCTCTAATTGTTTTTTTTTAATGAGACAGAATTAAAATCTCCCAACAAAAAGCTGCAAAAAACAACAATTTGAAATCAAAGGAAGCTTTTTATTTTAATGCTACGGGCACCAGTTTTTATCCATGTTGTCTCGTTAGCCTGCTCCGTATAGACGCTACCTTTACTGGCGACTCCTCGGCGTTTACCGACCACACCAACAACAAGATGCTGCTTCTTACATCCTGCGTTTGTCCTAATGTGTGTTTGTACTCGAGTTTTTTGTTCACTCCCTCCACAAAAAAAGACAAACGTGCAATTTCAAACTTCTGTAAATTGAGCATTTTCTGCTTTTTGTTGCCTACTGTTTGTTGTTTTTTTGACCATAGGTTAGACAAAACAATCTGAATATAGAATTTTTCGGCTTTTAGAAATGGTGATGGCAAACTTTTTCAACATATACAAACAGAATAGAGATATTTTATTGATAGACAACAAAATAAGTGTTAGCTTCATCCCCAAAATGACAAAAATAAACATTAAAAAATGATTTCTAGCCAGTGTTGTTGATTGGGGTTCCATTTACTCAAGCATTTTTCTTTATTGTATTGTGAGAAAACACAGGAAAATGTTACACAGACTCGCTGCCTTTACTGTACGTGGACTTATTCTACTTACTATCCTCCTGTAAGGCTCATTGTGAGTGAGGAAAAAAAAAAACTACAATACGACCGTGTGTTCAAACGCACGCTCTCCAGCTTTACCTTGAGATGGTACACGTTGCCCTGCGCCCTCATCACCAGTTCGCTGGCTGGAATCGACTGACCGCAAGCGCTGCAAGCTCCACTGTTTCCGAATAATCTGAGGGGGGAAGGAAAAGAGCACATGTTAATATGGAAGCGGCGTGTGCATCTGCATGGATTTAGCTTTGTGTAATGGACTGTGGCATCCCCACTTTTGTCTGCTGAGTATGTGACTAAATGAAACCCAGTGTTAAGTTCACTATCCTCCCAGCTCCATTTCTAACTGGAATGGAAAACATACAGGAGAAGAAATAGAAAATCATCACAGTATCAACAGGAAAAATGAGTCCTCCACCACTCTGCTCTCCACAAGCATCTAGCACTGAAACTGCATATTACTTTTGCTGCACATTTTTTGCAACCTAATAATAACCTGGAACATAAGCAATCAGGACCTAAGAGGATTTGATTGTACATCCAGGCGGAGACATAGTGCTTTTGCCATTAGGACTCCTGTGAATGCTCTGTCAGTGCCGTGTTTCCATTAGAAACCCCGTAGCTACTCGGGTTGATATATAATGTGCATGGGTTAACCTTTTCAATCATGGTGTCAACACTTTAGATTTGCTTCTGCTCATCTCTTTCGTCCCTAACCTTCTCTCTCTCTCTCCCTCTGCCTCTTGATAATGAAATGCTTGCTCCAGCTTCCCTTCTATCTTCCTTCTGAGTCCACAATTTAGATTACTTCATCTCGGTGAGCAGCAAACTGAATGAAATTTCGATTTGAGCAGAAAGTAATTTACTGGGATCTGGACCCATTTGTCATCATATCTCACCGGGTGTTTGCTCTATCACTGCACTTTTCCTAAGCAATCAAATAAGACCACGGCATCTGACATGCTCCGGAGAGAAGGAGAGAGAGAGAGAGAGGGATGGAAAAAGAAAGGGATGGAGGGGAGGGGAGTGCTTAACGCTGGTGTGTGCATCAGATAAAGTTGTTTGGGTTTTTAAAAAAATAAAAAAAATTAACAAGAAACAAGAGGAAATTGTTTCTGTTCGGGCGTTCTCGAGGACAATTTTTACGAAAAGTATTTAACAAATAATAAATGCCTTTACCATCCAAAGCGTAACCCAAGCAGTTGTTGGATGTACTGACAGACAAACAAACAAGCCCGAGCTCTTTGCAAAGGGACACAGAAATGGCTTTCAATAAGAAGCAAATTTTGTCTTGGCATCATTTGGAAAGGCTCCATCAAAACTCAATTTCAGAAACTAATTAACTGGAGACCGTCGTCACAACACTGCCAATTCTCTGCTCTCGCTGGGACAAACATGATAGTGGAAATGAACATATATGCCTTGCCTCCCTTTAAGACTCATGCGATGCGTGTGTGGAGAAGCAAAACTGCTCTTTTTTTCCCGCGAGACATTTCTTCATATCAAAGCGCTCGAAAATTCCAACTTTTTTCTCAAATTGGAAACACGCTCCCCTCGTGCTCGTGTTGCATTCGAGGAGCCTCCCCCCCTGCGCGGGAGCTTTTGGAGAGGTGTCGAAACAAAGGCTACGGGACGTTCGCACCGCAGCCTCTTTATGTTTCAGGCGCAGAGTGGAACTCGCACCAGGTTAATTATTTTACCAGGGGATAGCTCTTGATAGTGTTTGATTTAAGGAGCCAAAGCCTTTAGGTGCTCAATTAAGTTGCTGTATCGGTTTGAACTTGGGCTCTAATGGCCTCTTCTGCCAGTGAACTACAGCACCGAGGTGAAGTCGACACCGCAGGTCAGTATAATTAAGGCCAAGGGACTCTTTTAATTGCAGTGACACATCTGGTTTCTGCTTTAAAGAAGGAAAAAAAAAATCCCTGTTTCTGGGGGACGGCTTTATCTTGATTTATCTGCCGTCTTCGCCCCGCGGATCTGTCTTTGATTAAATTAAATAACAAACAAAAAAACACATTTGCAGCTGTCTGTTGTCTATATAGGCAATGACTATTGGATTTCATTTCAGCACTGACTGCCGGGTGAAATATAGCATGGCTTGCTGCGAGGCTGTCTGGTAAATGCAGACCTCATTCACCGAGGCCTTTGAGTAGGGTAAAATTACCCCACAACAATGATTTCTGCAACACAGTCCATTAAAAATGCCTCTCTACATCAGCAGCCAAAGCACCTTAAAAGCACTAGGCCATATTGATACTGAAGCGGGGCTTTGCATAATGGCAAGAGCTGCATTAGAGAGAAGGGTGGAGGGGCCGGGGACGGGGCGGGGGGGAGGAGGTGGTGGTGGTGGGGGAGATTGCGAGGATGAGGGAGGGTTTCTCTGCGTGTATCTGGATGTGTTTTGGGGAGGAGGGGGATGGGGGAGGTGTCGGGGTGGAGGGTGGAGGAGGGTGGTGGCGGCGGCGGTGGGGGATCAGCCAAATTACACTTGGTTAATTCAGAGTAACAGATCTGGCCCCAAGTGAATTGAAGGCCTTGAATTAATTCTGTTATGACAAATCAAGATAAACGTTTCCCCTAAATTGCATGCGATTTAATTAATTTCTGAGATCCCGTTTTTTTTTTTTTTTTTTCCTTCTTCCCTCCCTGGCCTAATAGTTCACATTCTCTTGTGCTGTCATAGTGCTTGAGTGGGCAGACTTCAAAGTGATATTAAATAACCAACTATTAGATTTACCTCACACGTTCTATTGGAAAAGTGCCATTTAATTACCTAGGCTTATTCAATTAAGGGGACAGCATTCTCCCTGAATCCAGCAGCCACAAGTAAATTAATTCTCCCTCTACTAGCAGCCCACAGAAATAATATCACCTCCAGCTTAAAACAACATGATCCCCGCACAACTTTTGGCTGTAAGTTAAAGCTTTTGGTGGCGGCGCTGCGTTTGGAAAACAGACATGGCGATGCTGTGATGTTTGTGAAAATCCCTACTTGACAGATGGGAGATGGGTATCATCCCGGGCCAGGCATACATCCCACTCAGCATTCAAACTCCTGATCAATCAGATAATGAGCATTTTCATATCAGCTGCATTAATATAAAATTGGAGCTACAGCTGAGATTGTGAGCAGTCTGTTACGACAAAAAAAAAAAAAAAAAAAGAGTCTGCCCCTTTAAGATGAAAAAAAAAAAAACAGCGGCAAATGGCCTTCACAATAATCCCTCCTCTCTATCTGTCTTTCTCTCTTGCTCTCTCTCAAAAGCCAATTTGGTTAATTAAATGTTTTGTTTGCAGTGTGGCTCTCATTCATTTCGGACACGTCATTGGGAGCGGATACAAGCCAGGGACCAGATCTCATTAGATAAAACCCATCAGTACTAAAGGAAATGGAGGGGGACTATAATTAAAGCATTTAATTGTGTAGACTCACTGTCAGATGTTTTTTTTTTCCCCCCCGCTCCAATCTTTATCTCCACAGAGATCTCATGGTTCCATAATATGCATTTTAGCTCTTCCACCAAGCATGCTCTCATTACAAGTGGAAAGGTGTATCCACATTTTCCCCCTTCCAATTTTAATTACGTTACAGTCCCATTATGAATGAAGTACCCCATTGACTTCCCCATCCTTTTTATGAGGTGGGTGTGAGAGGCGCACTTTAGATTCTGAATTATCCGAGCAGATCTGATCGCAGCGTCGTATGTTGACTGTTCCACCTTTTAGAATGTGAATGCAGGAGAACACGCGGGTATTTTTAACCCGCCGAAACAGAAACGCTCTGTCGGAAAACACGTCGCAGTATGAACTCAATAGTTTGTGAATAAGAGTCCCAACAGCTAATTGATAGGTTTAAAATCAATAGCAGCCTTGCACCCCAGGGTGAGTCAGGAAAGCATTTGAACTTTCAGTAAACTGTGGCTCGTCTCGTCACGTCAGACTTCATTACCACAGCGAGTGTCATCAACAGGCTCTGGTTGGGTGTCTGGCACTCCTACTAGAATATTTAAAAAGGCTCTCTTTGCTAATTAAATGGTGCTTTTCCGTTACATAAAAAATAAAAAAACAGAACCAAAAAAAATACAATAAGATAACTTGAGCCCAACACAAACCCAGCACACAGGAGCTACTGTACGTCCTACTGGACCAGTTTTCTGTCCTCTGCTGAGCGCAGACAGTCAGATGACCTGCACAACAACTCTTCTGCTTTGTGCTGTCAACATGGCGCCATGTGTGGCGTCTTTAAGGGCAGAGAGGGAGACTTCAGCCAGGATGCTTTAATGAGCACTGACGGTGTTAGCACAATTTGATACGCGTGTTCTGAAAGAAATACACACAACTCTGTTGATCTTTGCACGATCAAACATTTACATCGACTCAACCCTGTGAACTCCAAAACCGGCCGACGAGGTTAAAAGGCATGTTGTTTTTACAGAGATGACACTATTTCTCAGCCTGAAACTTTAAAAATCTGATTTTAAACGCTCCGACGGTCCTTGAACTGGGTATCTGTGATGTGCCTTTTAGTTGGGAAAATTAACCAAATCAGATGTTTCATCAAAACCAATTTATTCTACATGTCTTATTTCAAAATTCGCCAAAATGTTTTTACCTTTGCTTTAACAAAAATCTGTACAAAACAAAAAGTTCTCCTACTGAGAAGCCACGACTCACTCAGCTGACACCAACAGTCACGTGACAAACATTCAGAGAGCGTTTGGCTGAACTGCAGGCTGTGTTTACTCAGATCAGAGAGGACACGAGTATGAAAACAATGCTGACAATGTAAGTAGTAAATTATATCACACATGTGAGGGGAACTTGGAAAAATGTTGAACATGTTGGTTTGAGTTATTTTGCATTTTTGTAAATAAATAATCAAAGAAATTTAACTTTTTTATGATTTATTGAATAAAAACTTTATTATCCTGCATAAAATATATTTCTGAGCTCTCTCTGGTTGTGCTTTGTGGTTCCACAGAGGTAAAGGACCTGATGTTGCAGCAAAAAATGAGCCCACAGTGAGTAAAAATGTGACAGGAGCAAAAAAATGTACTGGGAGCTCAGGGGGTTAAATTGAATAAGTGTCACTGCTTAATATGATCCAGAACTTTTGTAAGACACGGTTCACTTAAAAATTCATGTAAGATGTGAAATGAGTGATCTAACTTGTTAGATAACTAGACAGTCTGTGGCAATCACTGTAAATAACAACCTCCTGGAAAGTGGAGTTATTCAACGCCACACTTAAAAGCATCACAAGGTCTTTTTCTCACCTGATGTAATCGGTTCTGCACAGGATCATGCCGCTTTTTGTGAAGCATGACGTGCCGATTTCGCCCAGCTGGGCCTGGCAGCAGGAGCACTTGAGGCATCGGCTGTGCCAGTAGCTGTCCATGGTGTAAAGGAGGAAACGGTCTGCGATTTTGCCACCGCAGCCGGCGCACCGCTTCCAGGACAGAGAGCCCGTCCCCACCGGCGGTGGCTGGCTGCTGCCTCCGGGATTCACCATCGTCCCTGAGAACACACACACAGAAGAGACACGTCAGGCCCAACATGTAGCACCCAGGAGGCTCACACTGTTACCTGGTAAGTACTGTTTTGTACACAAAGAGGTCAGGACACGGACGGCTGCAGCTAACCAGCATTTGCAATTTTCTGTCTATTATTTTGTTGATTAAACAATTAGTTGTTTGGTCGATAAAATTGTCAGAAAATGGAGAAAAATGTCGACTTGTATTTCTTAAAGTTCAGGATGACAAATGCTTTGTCCACAACTCAAACACAATCAGTTTACAGTGACAGGAGAAGGAGAGAAATCAGGAAATATTCACATTTACAGAGCTCGAATCAAAGATTTTACGTTGATTTTCTCTAAAAATGTATTCAAAACGATTTATCAAAACAGTTCATAATAATTTAATAGTTGACATTCGGTTGATTGCTGCAGCTCTGGATAAGCAGCAGAGTTAGGTGGAATTAATACGGCCATGCAAGTGTCATAGTTGACCAGCTATCAGATTTTAAAATCCAGCTTCTTGAGCGTATTGTTGCATCGAACCAGCAGCTGATCTCATTAAGGTCTCGAGTCCTGTTCTGCTACCAGACAGCTACGAGTCATTTAGTGAATTAATCTGCCCTTGATCTCTGTCTCGTCCCCGCGCTGATGCTTCATTGGACGTCTCATGATGAATGTCTGTTAGCTGATAACACTGAGGGGCCAAAGGAACAATTGTGCAGGCGAGCCTTTTGTCGAGCTTGTCCTGAGAATTTCTAAATAGCACAAGACTTTAAGTGCACTGTTCCTCCGTGTGTTGCAGTCCGGGCGGCTGCACTGAGGTGCTGCTTACTGGAGGCTGGAGCTCAAATGGCACGTTGGCTGTGTGTTTACCAACATGCTGGCCAGGCCTTTGACCTGAGGATGGGGGGACGTGTCCGGCCACAAACACCATATTTACTGCTGTCATGATGCTGTAATCTAATGAAATGCAGGCGTTTGTCTGAGCCACGACATCAAGGTGGGCTCTCTTTTTAAATGTAATCCTCTTCAATTTGGTTGAGGCAGACTTGCCTTTGGATGAAGCCAAATCTTTGTTGAAAGGCAGGTAGGCTAATTAGAGTTGGGGAGGGAGGAGGAGGGGAGGGAGGAGGTATACACAGAGAAAAGCATTCAGTAAGCCCATTAGCGATGGCTCTTAGGGACAAACCACAGCGTACCTTAGTGCTGATTAAATCTAAAAGGAGATGAATCAAAAAGCCGACCTGAAAGTGACTCCCTGGATAAACAAGACGGGCCATCGTCAAGTTTCATTCAGAGAGGAGTTGCTTTTTTTTTTTCTTCTTCTTTTTTTTTTCGCTGAGGGATGGAGGGGGGAGACAGGAGGGAGGGAGGAGAGGAGAGGAGAGGAGGGGGGTGGCTTTTAACTTAAATGGGCTAACTCAAGTAATTACACGGGCAGGCAATTTGGGCGCAGAGACCAAGTCATGATGGAAATAGAAGAGAGAGGGAGAGAGAGACAGAAAAGAAAAGAGGGGGAAACATATGAGGCAGCCATGTGCTAAAAAAAAAAAAAAGAAAAAAGAAAAAAAAAAGCTCCTGCTGCTGCTTTTTTTAATGGAAAATAAAAGAAATGTAGCTGCAGCGCGGTGCGTAAAGGAGACTGCTGTCACATAGCAGCGATGAAATAGAAGAGACGCAACTATGAAACTGGACAAAAAAAAAAAACAGCTTATGTGTAATATCAACAAACACCCACCTCGTTTGTCTCTTTTGAGTGTAATGGCTGTAAAGTTGACGGCTTTCAGGGGCGGAGGAGCAGGCGGGCGGACAGGTAGCTGCAACAGTCCCACAAAGTGCAGGTAGAAGGCGGACGCACTACCGCGCTCCGTCGGCCTCCAGCTCCGGCGGCGGCAGCGATCCCCCTCCGCTCGGCTCTTCTGGTTGCGCGCAGCAAATGGAGTTATCAGATAGTATTTCCACTGGATGCTCCCCGTTTCGCTGCTGCCGCCGCTTTTATTTCGCTCGAACAAAAGGAGTCCATTGCAGTTGGGGGACTGCGCATGCCGTAATTTCCCTTCAGAGCCGAGAAAGTTCGCTGTTTGGGCAAGAAAGAAAAAAAAGAGGATAGCGGAGAAAAAAAAAAAAAAAAAAAAAAAAGAGAAGGACGGAGGCAGGCAAAGGCAGGAGGGAGGCGGTTGGAGTGACGGTCCTGTGGCTGCTCCGAGTCCCGTTAGCTGCTTGTTCTACATGTGTCGCTGACAGGAAGAAACCTCCAGTAAAAACCCCCTTCAGCCCCGTGACGTAGGCGCCGCCGCAGCCAATCAGCGCGCAGCTCATTTAGGCGGAATAACAGCTCCAGCCAATCAGAGCGAGGCGTGATTGACTGGACACGCAGACAGAGAAGGATGGAGGTGAGATGGACACAGTCATGCAGGAAAACACGGACACGGAGAGGAGCGTCGTCATAAACCCCGCGTTCTGTTTACTACATAATTAATCTGAACATCTTTATTTACAAAAGGCTGCTCAAACTATCTCCGTCCTGAATAAGTTTCCCCCCAACAAGATGTGTTTTTTAAAGCGCAGGCTGCCTGGCAACATCCGCTCGGCTGCATTCATCTCACGTCTGAGTTTAATTAGTTGACATTCAATAACTACTTAGTTTACCGAGGCTGACTCCAACCTCTGGGAAATATCAGGGCCTAATAGCTGCGTAGTGGCGCCATCGTCTGTCACTGGGAATAATCGCAGCGAGGCCTGCTGTCGTTTACAACCTCATTAAGCCTCAGGTCATTGGTTTCAACACCTATTAAGGCTAATCTGCAGGACCCCGATTTGGCTGAGATCCTTTAATTCATTCAGTCTTACGCTTTGAGTTTTTCGCCATCATGTGAGACATCAGAGAGGAGCTGAATTAGAGGC